ACTCAATGCTGAAAATTGTCTGGTCTTTTTCATTGCCTAAAAACATTTCTTGGACAGCTTTTGATGAAAGGGGTTGTTTGGTAGGGTAACCCTTAAACCAAGTTAGGGCTACTTTGCAATTGGGATCTTGATAGTGATCTAAAACCTGCCAAACAATCCTAATATTTATCTCTTTTGCTTGGTTCCAATTTTTTAATTTCTCAAAAGTTTGGGTGGGTGCCCTTTAATTTCATTTGATCTCTTTCATAGCTTGTTAGGTTGTTTTCTTTTACCATCGATATGATACAGACACAAGATGTTTGGTTGTTAAAAGTTTTATATGATAAACAATAATAATTAATAAATTTGATGATTCGTGTATTTATTTATATAAAATATTAAAATTTTTATATTTAAATTATATTTTATATGATAATTACATATCATAATTTATATTAATATAAAAATATAAAATATTTTATTTTATTTTATTAAATTCATATATAATTATTATTAAAATTTTAATTCGTGTCACGTTTATATTTTTTATATCATATTTATATTATATTATCGTGTTGTATTTTATATTGTCAAATCTATTAATTAAAAAAAAGTTGAATCAAGACCTAATTTTAAATTAATTAAAACCGATTAGACCTAAAATGCTTTATAGGTATATATATCATATATTTATTTCATGAAATCTAATTTGATTTAATCCGAAATATTTTATAAATTACTTAAGCCGATTAGACTTACAATACTTTACGTTAGACATATTATATATTTATGTCATGGAATCTTAATTTAATTTGACCCAAAATATTTTTTTACAGATTACTTTAGTATTTTATACATTACCCTAACTTTTGGCAACCATTTTTTTATATATATATTTTAATTGATTTGATGATTCATGACAACTTTTTCTTGTGTTGAGCATTAAGTTTTATAATAACCATGACGGAAAGCTACCCACATTAATTAATTCAAAATCACATAGTTTGACCACTTGTCCTTTTGATTCCGTGGATTGCCGTACGAAAAATGGTAAAAAATGTACAAAAGCATCCGTCCAAAGTTGAATCAATACCAAACAAGCCCTCCTCACCTTCTTTATTATTTTTATTTGAAGAAAAAAAAAATGACTCATATATATATTTATTATCCAGTAAAATAATATTAAGGAAAAGTACTAAAATATCCACTACATGATGGTTAGTTACATTAATATTATTTTCTTTGTCTTATTTTTTTATCCATTTTTTAGATGTCTCAAAATTATTTTTTTTTATTTTTTGAACATTTAAAATTCTTACATTTTTATTTTAAAATTATTTTTATGATTATTTTTTATTTTTTGACATTAAAAATCATTAAACTTAATTTTATAAAAAATTTAATTTTAATATTAAATTTGTTAAAATCAAAATTTTTTTAAATTTCGTGAAAATCAATATAGCTCATATAATTTTGGACGAAGAAAGTAATTGACGAAAACTTTGATGACCTTAATTTAAGTAGAAAAAATTAGATAAAAATAAATTAAAAAAGAAAAAAATTGTATGAACAAATTTAAGCTCTAATTTAAAAAAAAATTACATTAGCCAGTTTGTGATATTGTTGTAATAGACATCTCTTAAACTTTTTAGTAATGGATAGATTTTTTTTTTCAAATAAATATTAGTGGAATTAATTAATTAAAAATTGCATGGAGATTGAGACCTTGGATAATGGGAACAAAATATTAGTTTGTTTTATTGTAGGGAACAGATGAGTAATAAATCAAGATAATTATTGAAAAATCCTTTGATTAAGAGAATTAATGGGGTTGGAGAGGATAAAATGGCCGTCTATTTCAAGTTGGGGTACAAGTTGATAAAGTTGGAAAACAATGTTACTCATTGTTTAATCCGAAACCAAAGCTTCAATCACGCGCATCCATTAACTTAATCAAATTATTTTAGAATCAGTAATCAATTATAATTAATTTATGACTTTAATTCAATGTTTAATTTAATGGATTCGTATAATTATTTTAAAGAGATTGCATACCCATATTGAAAATTTAAATTTCAGTACTTATAATATTTTTTAATTTATTGATTATAATTTATGTTGTACCAAAAAATTAATATATAATTAGAGGTGCTCATTAGCTAAACCGAGTTAGATTCGAGTCGAATTCAAATTTGATATTAATAACTTTTATGTTTGGTTATATTTGGTTTGATTTGAAATTTTGAATTTCAAAATATTCTCAAGTTCATCATAAATTAAAAAAAAATTAAACTCACTCATTAAACTTAATTTATATATAAAAAAATATTGTTAAATTAAATTAATGAGATTATATTTAATTTATATATATATAAATTAAAAAATAAAAATTATATAAAAATAAAATTAAGTTTAATAAAATATATAATTTATATATAATTCATATATATATAAATAAAAATGTCTATATATGTAAATTTGAATCGGATTAGGTCAGGTTCAAGTTTTAAAAATTTTATCCAAAATCTAACCTAAAATTTAACAGATCTTAAAATTATATTTAAATCTATTTAACAAGTTTTAATTTATTATTTAAGTCCTCTTAAAATTTAAACAAAATTTTGAACTTAAACGGATAACTCGACTCTTGAACAGATAAAACGATTTCACATAATTTTTTGTTACTGTGTTCTTGAAATGAAAGTTTGAGTAATAATCAAATTTGAATATGATGATTATTATTTTTTAAAAGAAGATATAAAAAATTTAAAATTTAAAATTATTTTTTAAAATTTTATGACAAGATTAAATTACATCAATAGTGTGATATTTCTCACAAAATCGAGTTTCAAAAAAAAAAAAAAAACTTGTGTGTTGATAAGAACAAAATTTATAAGTTATCAAGGGGTTCCTAGTGTTCAAATGAAGGAAATCCTCCTTTTTTTTTTTTTTTTATAATATGGTAATTGTAATATCCATCTATCTAAAAATGACATATATAGAAAAAACAGGGAAGACTTGTTTGCGAGTTGAACTCTTAGCAGTGGAATTGAATAACGCGCGATGCTAAAAGGATATTGGACTTAACATTTCTTCAGTCTTTACTCTTTAATGTTTTCAACTAATGGTGACGACTCATTTCTCCATTAAGATGGATGAAATTAATTTTGAATAATATAATGCAATATCCTAAAATAAAACTGGTTAATCAGTTTTTTTTTAATTAATTAAAAATACATAATTATTTTTTACAATATAAAAGTTGAATATTAAATATATATTATAAAATAAAACATTCTCGAATATTATATAATATGAAACTAATTAGGTGGAATTTTCTTTTATATGTATATATATGAATTGCAATAATTATTTACCCCTAAAACTTTTCAAAATTTCCAGATTTTAACCTTAATTTTCACTATCAAACTACCAGGATTCACAGGCAACTACAAATTCTTGAATATGACATCATTTGACATTTTTTCAATATATTTGAAATAACTTCTCAAATAACAATTGATAGCAGCTTTCATTAGATTGAGAACTTATACAAGTAAAAAAATCTCATTGCATTACACCATTTAAATTCTAAATTGTCGGTCCAATATCATATATGCACTAGCAAAATATAGGTCAATTGATTTGATAAGTCAACTAATATGAATTAAAAATATTTGTTTGTTTCAAAATGCATAGGTCACACTTGCTTAGGGCTTACATCGATGAGAATTTGAGAATTTTATTGCCTTTTTAGAATTGTAATTTTGTTTATAAAAAATTAATAGATTATGGACACTTAAATTTAAACTTCAAAATTATTAAATTTTATATTTTGAAATAATAATTCAATTAAACTTTCGGAAAACTAAAACACAGTGATTTTTATTTAAGTATTCGGCAGCTAAAAAGGACAAAAGATTTCGTTGCATATCATGTGGTTTATAATTACAAGAATAATATAATATATAATTAGCTTTTTTTTTATTCATAAAATGAAGATTACAAAAGTATGCTTTATTCTTCTATTAATTATAAAAAATAATTTAGTTAATATTTAGGGCATGTTGCCCAATGTTAACAAGTAAAACTTACATATATTTCTCTAAAGGAAAGTAAAAAAAAATCTTATATCGATAGTAATAATTTAAAATATAATAAAATGATATAACATAAATATGATACGAATAAAAGATAAAATTGATAAGATTTAAAATTTTAGTAATAATTATATCTAAATTTAATAAAATTAAAAAAAAATATTTTATATTTTTGTATTAATACGAATTATAACACGTAATTTTTATATAAAATAAGATATAAATATATGAATTTTAATATTTTACATAATACGGATGCATTTGGTGCAATTTTTGTTATTTATAAAATATAGGAACTTTTATTTTGAAAAAAAAAATTCAAACACATTTCTTGAATGAGAGAATGCATGAAAAGTGTGAGAATTCAAGAAAAAAAAAAAGGTTACAAATATTATATGACTGGACTTGGCCTCAGGGTTGCCTTCACGTAAAAAAATGTTGAGGAAAATAGGAGGTTCAGTAACATTACACATAGCCCAAACTTTTGGGGCTTGCTCTATAAGACCAATCTTTGTTTTTTTTTAAATTAGTCCAAAGAGAAATAAAATTTTTATCCATGAAATAATAAAAATTATTTTTGATGTCATTATGTATATATATCATAAATTTTTTATCAAAAAATATTCTGAACAAATAGCAAAACTATTTTATTATAACCCATGATTAAGAAATATTGAAAGTAAAAGCAGCATCTGTAATTTTCTAATTATTACACATTTTGATACAAGAAACTTGGTCAAGAACCAAAGAAGAGTATTTGGGCATGAGGGGTGCCATATGTCACATTCAAGACAAGAACGAAGCCTCTAAAAAAGCCCAATCACCCATTAAAAATTCCAGATTTAGTGCCAAAACTAGCTATATAACTATACTAAATCAACCAAAAAAAAAAAGAAAAAGAAGCAGAGATATATTTGCAAGATGAGTGTAGCTGTTCTTGATGGCAAAACAGTGACAGGATTTGTGGAAGCAAAGGAAGCATTTAAAAATTGTGTTGAAGTGTACTTCAAAATGCTTGATTCTAATGGAGATGGAGGGATTTCTCGCAATGAGCTTGAGGAAGGTTTTGGCAGGATTTTCACCATGGAATTTGAATCCAAGTCTCAAGAATGTGTTGATCAATTTTATAGTGCAATTTTTGAGAGGTTTGATGAGGATGGTAACGGTAAAATTGACTGCGATGAGTTTGCATCCTTGATTAGAGAGATTATGCTCGCCATGGCTCGTGGGATTGGTACATTACCGGTTATAGTCGCTCTTGATCAAGATAGCTTGCTGATGATGGCTGTTAACCATGAACTGGCTCGAACATGATCATGAAGGGTTGTAAAAAATTTGTTGCATCAAAAGAATTAAAAAAAAAAAAAAAACTTACTTCAACCATTGAGATGCATGTAGCATAGGACATATAGTTAATTAGTTTGAATGGATGAAATTGTATCTCAAACTCAGATTTTGCATCAACAAAGAAAACGATGAAGTTTTTGTTAATTGAGCCATTTTCATGGGTTGATCAATGTACTTTTTCTGGTTGTGGGTTGTTCACTAGAAACAAGGGATTTTGCTGGACAAATGCAGAACAGCCTGCAATTGAAGCAACAACTTGGGATGGAGGGAAAGTGCATTCACCAAATCGTTGTTTTGATTTTTGTCCAGATTCACTTCAAGAACCAGATATCCCTAGACATATATAAAAGCCAAAAAAAAAGATCATGTCTATTTTCTTAAAAAAATGAGTCATGGGTAAGATCAAGTAGCTTAGCTACCAATTAAATTATGTTCATGGAATAAATTCCTTTGATTCAATATTACATGCACATTGCACTTCTCAATATATGGACTCCCCATGTTTCTCTCTTCATTTCTACTTCTCCAAATGATCCATGCAACAACTAAAAAGAGATTAATCTTCTGCTTCTTTAATCTTTGAAAAGAATGGTGCAACCACTCCAATGCAATTGTGTAGCATGCCTCGTTAGAACTCAATCTAGGCCAAGTTGCCTCCAGATCTGCCTCTAGGGGCACTGTTTTATTGCATGTATTGTGTTATTTAAGCACAATATCATTGTTTGTCTCCCTATACTTTTAGGGTATGGACCATTTAACTTCAATCATAAAAAAAAAAAAAGGAATAGTACCATATGTTAAATTTTTGTGAGAATTAAAATGCAAAATACGAAAGCATTTTTTTTATTTGAATCCGTTAAAATTTGAACGTTGATTATTAAAATTAAAAATTTAATATTTTATCAACAGATTATGAGATTGTTAATCACAAAAGTAATTTTGGATTAATTAGAACTTAAACTTTTTCTTTTCTGGACAATATATAAAATATGTGTTTCTTTAATATTTCAAAGGTTTAATTATAGATGAAATTAATAAACTGTTCATGTATTCATGATTAGAAAGATCAACTTTACAGCCTTTTTCTATCAGATGTAATGTAGAGAATTTTGAACATGTATGGCAATGATGAATCTTCTCTATATAAGAGAGAGTGCATATATATTTGATTTGAAAAAACAGAAAAAAGCATAGCAATTCAAGTTTGCAGTTGCAGGTATTCTATTGCTTTTTCTGCCACTATGTTATTTAAAAAAAAAAAAAAACATTGCACTTTCCTCACTCAATTGCCTGGCATTTAGATTTTGCAAGAGTGAAATCTGATAGATTTTACTGCTCTTATTCTACCTTTCATGATTCAAATGGTAAAAGAAATTGACCATTTAGCTTGAACAATACTTTAACTGTGGTAAATCTTTTACATTTTTAACTGATAAATAAAAATAATACAAGATGATGATGGTGCCTTCATCTCCATAGGCCATTTTTATAAAGAAAGAATAAAAAAATCAAATCCAGCCAAAGTTTCAGGCAGAGAACAGTTACATAAAAGAAAGAGTCATTAGACTATAATTACCCAAAAGATTTTTTTAAAAATTAAAAGAAATAAATTAGATTTTATAATTTATAATTCATTAAATGTATGTTGGTAATAATAAAGTAATGCATCAAAATAAATAAATATGAGTTTTGCAAATCAGTAAGAGCTGAAGAAACTCAAAACCATATAGTTTCTTAATATATTATATTTGTTAGGGCAACAACTCACATGTTGGTTGTTACGCTAATATGAATATTCTAGAAATGTAACAGTATATTTTGCATGTGAGTTGTTAGTCAATGTTATACATCAAACTACTAAGAGTTTTTTTTTTTTTGTTCTTTAATAATAAAAAATCGATAAATCCGTAAATTTAATATAAATTTTCATTTAAATTTATTATATGTTCTGGTCTCGAAATGTATGGCCTCTCCTCACATAAATTTTTTTATAAAAAAAATAAACAGATTAAAAGAGTTGAAAACATGACTTCATTAAGGTAGACTTTTTAATTCTTATACTTATTTTATTAAACTCAAGAAATTATTGTTACATGTTGCAATATTTTGTCATGACACAATGATTCCCACCGATGCTTATCCAACTACAATGAACATTCCCAAAAGTTCAAAATACTTCAAAGCCAACTTGGATGACTCAAGTTTAGAATTAGAAATATAAAATATGATATGAAATAAAGATATAAAAATAATATAATTTAAAATTTTAATAAAATAAAAAAATATTTTATATTTTCATATCAATATAAATTATAATATATAATTTTTATATAAAATATAATATAATTATATAAATTTTAATATTTTATATGATATAAATATACGAATCGATAAATTTATTTGATAAAGTAACAAAACCTTGCAGAAGTGGTTGAGACCTCTCTCTCCTTTTCCCAAGGCCCCATCATCTCTTCCTGGACCTCATCTCCCCTTTGAGATGGCAAGAAAAAGAAAGTATAATAAAAAAGCCTTAAACCTTTTAAAGTAAAGGAGAAAAAGTTCAAAGTCATATCTAAATTGTGACTGACTGGGAGATAAGTAGTAGTACTCAGTGCAAACCAGCTAATGAGAGAGAGAGAGAGAGAGGTTGAGCCATGTCTCAGGCGCAAATCAAGGAGGGCAATATGAACTGTAAGGTAGCTTAGCCACTGCTCCTGATGATTGTGCTAATGGAAGCCTTTAGTTTATGTTTAAATCATTCAAATACTCAAAGCTTAGTCCCTCACCTCAACCCCACACTCTTTTATTTTTTACAAAATCACAGGTGTTGTGATTTATATTTTTTATATTTTAGATATCAATTTTTAAAGTGGTTGTATAAAGGAGTTAAACTCCGAATTCACCTTGAAACTCTCTTCAGTAGCTTTAATTTTGCTCTTAAAAGCTATCCCTAAACTTGAAAGACTTGATTACCCATTAGCTTGATAAGCCTAATATTCACTCCCATCTCTTCACAATCACCTCCTCTCATTTCTTTCTCTGTCTTCTTCTCTGTTTCCATGGTTTGATAAAGAAGCAGAAACCATGATTCCAGCATGCTTCAGCCACCCTAACACACTGTCAAGCAGCTCTCAAGTGCCTCAAAACCTTATTACCTCCATCTACCAAACTCAACTCTGCAACTCGCCAACGTATCTCACACTTACATGGTCAAAAAACCTCTTCTCCCATTCCTTAACAATCTATGCTGCTGACTCCTTCTCCATCACCATTTCTCTTTCCCCCTCAGCCTTCTCATTTTTCAGAAACAGACCAGGCTCCAAATCCATCTATTTAACCCACCATCATTACCAAAGAATCAAGCTATATTGGGACTTCACCAGGGCCGAGTTTGCTGAAAACTCAGCTGAGCCAGAGTCTTGCTTCTACATTGCCATTTCATGCAATGCCAGGCTAGAATTCTTCCTTGGGGATCTCCAGGATGAATTGACCAGGCGTTCTGGTTTGGTCATGGCTCGCCAACTGCTCCCTGAACCAACGCTCTTGTCCAGGAGAGAACATGTATTTGGACGAAAGAGTTACATTTCAAGAGCTAAGTTCTTGGGTTCTAAACATGAAATAGGCATAGAATGTGGAGGAGGTGTTCTGAAGGTAAAAGTTGATGGTGAAACAAGCCTCGTTATAAAAAGATTAGCATGGAAATTTAGAGGGAATGAGAGAATTTATATCAACGGAATTGAAGTAGAATTTTATTGGGATGTGTTCAATTGGGTCAATAGTGACAATAATAGTAATACCAATGGTCATGGTGTGTTTATTTTTCAAGTTGGTGATGGTGGTGTATGGCCTGAAATGGTAGGGCCAGAGAAGAGGTTGATGAGGAAAAGCTTGTCATCGGTGGCGGGTTCGGCACCGATGCCATCGATGAGTTTGTCGCCATCTCCGTCGTGTTCAAGTGTGCTGCAGTGGGCGGAGGAGAGCAGTGATGGTGGAAGAAGCTCATGCTCTTCATCTACTAGGTCATATGGGATCAATGGAGGATTCTCTTTGTTGTTGTACGCTTGGAAGAAGGATTGAATTCAACTTTTTATTTTTCAATGCAAAGTCCTATGTTAAATTGTGAAATTTGATTGATTTTTATGTGAGAAAGTACTTGAATTTGAAGATTATATATACTCTCTAAGATTTGTGATATATATACTAGTAATAAATTACATACTATAATCCTTTATGTTGTAAATTCAATCCGTTTCTTGTGATTATGTGCATAAAATTTATCAACTATTGGTTTCCCGCATTTATAATTTCTTTTTTTTTTCTTGGAATATGAAGTTTGTTTCATTTACTCCAACTTACAAAATTAAGATGAAGGTCTGGAAAAAAGAAATTGCAGCCTAGCATAGGGGTGTTAATCGGGCAGGGTATTGGAAGAGTAAAGCATTTTTCATTTTTGGAATTTTATGTTATACCTATTTTTATACTTATATTTAATGGATATTTTTAAATTTATTCTTATTCTCATTCTTGAGATATTTAATGGATACGAGTAGTTTTAATACTCATAATTTTAAAAAATAAAAATAAAAATTTAATTTTTAATTTTTATCTTATATATTTAGATAAATTTTTATAAATATATATTATTATTTTTTAATAAAAATATATTAATTTTAATTAATTTAAGATAATAATTTATATTATTTAATAAAAAAATTATTTATTAAATATAAAATATATATATGTAAGGTACGAGTACCTAATGTATATTATATTATTCATTTTTATTTTCGTCCTCATTAAAAATTTAAAATCATAATCATTTTCATTTTTATATTCATAATATAATACTCATTCTCATATCCATTTAGATAAAAAATAAAAAATTTCATTAAATATGCATAAGATTGATATCTTCAATCTAACAAATAATTTTATTAAACAAGTAAACAATCCATCAAGCTTGTACCTATTCTTTGATTCCAAGTTTGACATAGTAAACACTTTCTTAATCTCAAAACATACACAATTAGCATTGAACAATGATGCCCGAGGGCTTATTTCTTAAACTTCTTCAACAAAGCTTTGGTCTCTTGGTAAGTTCGTTTGTCTTGACATTAATAGTTTTGGATTCCAATTTTAACCATTATCATCAAATGCACAAAGCCAAACCTCATGTTTAGTTTTTTTAGGCCAATTTCTTAGGCCACAAAAGCACTTAGCCACAACTCAAAGCAAAAGCAAATATTGCGGGGCGGCAGGGACATGCTCCTCCAGCATCTGATTCCATTTCCATCCATCCAACACATCCACCATCACGACCTAGGATTCTCGAATAAACTATCACCTCAAAATCAAAATCCCATGCTAGAACTTGAAAATCCTTCTAGGTGTAACTTGTAAGTGGCTAGTAGTTGCCTTTTTTCTGCATAAAGTGTGGGCTTTCTGCGCCAGATCATGAGGAGCTCTTGTTCCTACTTTTCAAGCCACTCTTGTATGTATATAAATGGATTATAGTGTACTCGATTGTTCTTGATGGCGATGTTAACACTATCATCATTACAGATTCATAATGCTATGCTTCTGCCAATCATAGCAAAAGCTTTTTCTTCTTTTTGTCTAATTGATTTGATGATTAATGAAAAGTCTCTTTTAACGTTGGAGCCTTTGGTTCAATGGGTGGGGCATTTTATTTAATGGTTGATGAATGATTTAAATCTCTTTTTTTTTTTTAAATATCTCATTATTTTGATAAATTTCATAATTTAAAATAAGATATGATAATATAATATAAATAAAAAATATGAAAATGATATAATTTTAAAATTTTAATAATAATTATATATAAATTTAATAAAATTTAAAAAATATATTTTATATTTTCGTATTAACATGAATTATAATAAATAATTTTTATATAAAATATAATATAAATATATAAATTTTAATATTTTATATGATATAAATATATAAATTATAAAGTCTATATCTTGGAATGGTTAACTGCAAAGTTTTGATGTGTACAATATATTAGTGCTGTTAGTGAATGCAATGCACTCCCGCCCCAACACACGAATTGTGAACCAAATCAAAAGGGTACAAGTAAACTATTTAAAGGATAAAGTGGAAAGGGAACAATAAAGCAAGTGTAGCATTTATATATATAAGCAAGTGTAGCATATATATATTTATATATATAATATATATTAAGTAAAATTAAATTAATCTCTTATAAATTAAAATTATTAATTTTATTTATTTATCTTTGTTTCATAATTTAGTTTTATGCATTTTTTATTAAGCAATAAAGGAAGTGTAGCATATATATTTATTAATTTTATGCAATTTTGCTTATATATATATATATATATATGATAAGTGTTATAAAAAATAAAATAAAATATTAATTAATCTTTCAAAATTAAATATTCAAATTAATATTAAAAATATATATTAGACCGAATAAAAAAATTTGAATAAATTTCAAAAATATCCTTCCGATTATATAAATATACATACATATATATATATATATATATATATATATATAACTCAATAATCCATTAGCAAGTAATAATAAATTAACATAGGTGAAAATATACAAATTGAATAGAATTTAAATTTCGTTAAAGGTCACTTAACTTATATTTAAATCTTGTTTGAGTCATTGAATTTTAATTTGTTTCATTCAAATTATTAAAATTTTTTAAGTATATCAAAATCGATCACCCTAACATATTTCATTTAAATTTTGACAAAAAAAAAATATGATTGTCATTTTATCAGCTAACTAAACTTATATAATTTTATGAAAAATTATTAAATTTTCATATAATTTTCAAATAGATTATTAAACTTAAATTTGATATTACAAATTTACTAAAATTTGTTAAGTGTATCAAATTAATTTATCTAAAAGAAAAGTTAGATAAAATCTAAATATTGAATCCAACAAGCAACATCCACATTTTTTATATAACAAAAAATCTTCTCATACACCACATAAAATTAAAAGAAAAAAAATTAAGTAAACCCCAAACATACAGGTCTTTAATGAATATTTGTTTTTTCTTAAGTATTACAACTTTAACTAAAATGTTAAAAAAATTTATTTTATTTAAAAATTTATGCTCTTTAATTTAAATAAAATCAATATTACATAAAAAAAAACAAATATTTATTAAAAGTTTGTGACCGTCTGCTGTGGGTTTACTTAATTTTTTCTTTTGATTTTTCATGGAATGTAGGAGAATTTTTTATTATATAAAAAATATGAATGTTGTTTGGTTGAGTTCAATATTTAAATTTTATCTAACTTTTATTTTAGGTAAAATTTATTAAAATAATCAAATTTGGTGCATTTAACAAAATTTTTAATGACTTTGTACCAACAAATTAAAGTTTAGTTACTTATTTAAAAATTGGATGATAGTTTAATAATTTTTCATGAAATTATATAAATTTAGTTAGTTGATATGACAGATGATGTGGTTTATGTACGACAGCTTTGTTATTATTATTTTTTTTTGTCGAAATTTGGATGAAATCTGTTAAAATGACTAATTTTGATGTACTTAATAAACTTTAGTGACTTGAATAAGACGAATTAAAATTCAGTGACTCAAATGGAATTTGAGTATAAGTTCAGTGAGCTTTTGTGAAATTTACCGGAATTTAAGACAAGTTATTTTAAGTTTGGGTAATCTGAAAATATAACCATTTAAGTTTTGATTATTTTTTTTATTTGGATTATACATTGAATTTGGAAGCGTTTTAAGTTCAATTAACTCAAATTAATATATTTCATAATTACAGAAATGACTTGAACAAATCAATTGATTTCTATTTTCTACTCTTAACAGCCACTTAAACTCCTTTAATCCATTTACTTTCTTCCTACGCTTTTTCACTTCCTCTCCTTCCCTTTAACTAAACTCCTTTAATCCTTTTACTTTCTTTCTAAGCTTTTTCACTTCCTCGCCTTCCCTTTAACCGCACCATGGCCGATTCCGCCACCACCGCGCCTCTACCCCTCAAAGTCATCGCCGGAGCAGACTCCTTCGGCGCCGATCTGAAAGACGCGATGATATCCCACCTTCGCTCCCTCAACATCGAAGTTGAAGATCTGGGCACTACCTCCTACTACAACATCGGGGCGGAAGTCGGCCGCCAAGTCTCCTCTGCCACCACCTCCCCCACCGTCGAAACCCGCGGCCTCGTCGCTTGCGGGACTGGCGTCGGAGTCGGGGTCTTCGCCAACAAATTCCCCGGCGTTTTCGCCACCACGTGTCTCACTCCGGACGAAGCCCGCAACAACCGCTCCATCAACAACTGCAACGTCTTGGCCCTCGCCGGCATGTCAACATCCATAGATACCGCCAAGGAAATCGTCGACACGTGGCTCCACACCCCTTTTAAATCGCCGTGTCCGGCCTCCAAGTCTCAGCCTTGGCCCGAGGAGATCTCAAAATTCCTTGATGAATCGATGATTGATATGCCCAAAATCGGTGCTTCTGAAAAAACCCAAGCTGAATCTTGTGCAATTTGTTGTTTAGTTAAGAACAGAGAATTGAATCCAATCGATATAATCCCTGGTGGGTCAATGAAGATATTGAGAGAAAGTCCCACATCGGCTATTGTTAGATTCAAGGCAGGGAGTGTAGAGCCAGCCCACCACCATACTTTTGGGCATTGTTTGGTGGTGATGGAAGGGAAAAAAAGTGTTTGGAATTTGAGTAAAGAAGAAAGATATGATTTGGGTGTTGGGGATTATTTGTTCACTCCAGCTGGGGATGTTCATAGAGTGAAATATTATGAAGACACTGAGTTTTTCATCAAATGGGATGGGAAGTGGGATATGTTCTTTGATGAAGATCTTGAGACTGCTAAAATTGCTATTGACAAGGAATTGGCTAATGGCTCTGCTTGAAAGAACAAAGCTTTCTACTAATGGCAATGGCTTGCGTTTGCTTGTGTGTGATACTAGCTTTTATGTAAAAAAGGAGTTCTTATTTTTGTAAAATAACTGAGCTTGTGTTTGAATAATAAAGTTGATGGTTTTATGTATCACAAGATTGAAGCTGTTTCTTTTTTTTTTTTTTCCTTATAACTTCCTTTGATTACATAAATGTCGAATATGGTGAATAGGCATATTCCAGCCATAGCCACCACCTAGTCTCAGCCATTTGAGGTGGTTCGGGTGTTACTATACAAATGAACTATTATACAGGCTTAACTCATCAGGAACGCTTGAAGTTTCCATTTGCTGAGATTCAACTGCAGCAAGCTTCTTTCGCAGGGCCACTAACTCTTCCCCGGCATCACATATGTAGGCTGATGCTTGCCTGCCAGACAGAGTTGCTCCTTCCATGCTATCTATATAATCCTGTTCACATCAGTACCATGGAGAATCAATGAGCTGATAATAAATCTTTATCAATCAATAATGTGATCATGTGCTTAAATCATGGGTGATTGATGCGCAGCCCCATATACTAATCTAGGAGAAAGAGCTTCTCTTCCGAGTAATGTAGGAATATCAGACAGTCAGCCGGCCCCTTTTTTAATTCTAGGGTGGAGGGAAGGGACGAAGTCGGTGTCGGATAACCAAGCATTTCTAAGATGGAAAAGGAAAGGTAGAAGTTACCTGCTTTGTATAAGATCCAGCAAGAAAGAAGTTCTTTATGGGTGTTTTCTGATCAGGTCTGAATGGATCTTTACCAGGTCCTTCACGATATAGAGATTGCCCAATTTTGACAACAGATGACCAAATAACTTCTAAACCTTGGGATGATGGGAATAAAGCCAAAACCTGACAACAAAACAGGAACAGTATAGATGTCATGATCATGAGAAGAAAATTTCAATAACCTTGATTTAAACACCAAAGATAAGAAGGCATGGAAGGTAAACAATGGTGATGACCACCGTATAGCTAGATCACAACTATCCAGTGTTTATTGAGAGAGGTGAAAAAGTCCTAATAGCTAACGACTGCTAAAGTGGAAAGTGGTCCTGATCCTCTTCTGCCATTAAACCCAGACAAGATCCATCAACAAGCCAAACTAATGAAGTCCCTGACCGTACTTGTTAATACACGAAACACGTTGCTCTCACTAGAACAGCTGATATTGAAGTAAAAAATAGAATTGTGACTAAATGAGCTCTTACAACTAAAATTTTTGCTCAACTCTCCATGTCTCCAGTCACATTGAAGTAGCTTCTCTTAGAGATTATAGTGGATTTGAGACCAACTTTAATATGTGTGCATACGTCGATGAATTTAAGTATTCAACCAAAAGCACATTATAGAAACAAGTGGACCCAAAGAGATGGACATTATATTATGTAAAATGTGATCTGGTCATAGAGCAAGAATGGACTCGGACAAAGACAAAGAACTATGCACTTTGGTCTCTTAAAAGTTGCAATCAAACTTAAGAATAAGGTTCCTTAGAAGCTTCCAACCTGCTTTGCTACTCTCTTTATGATTTCATCATTTGGCAATGGCATGTAAGGGTCACCTGGTGTCAACACACATCTGAAAGACAATAGCCAAAACAAGAAATAAAAAATATGGTCAATAGAGTTTGAGATGAAGTATAAGAGTTTATACAAGCCAGTATTTACAGGTCATCAAAATTTTCTACAGATCCGAATCCAAAAATCAACATGGTATAAATAAATAATAGTTTTTAGACATTTGATGATTGAAATCAGTATTTCCTTTATAATACGTATGTAATATGTAACCAAAAAAGACAACAACCTTGCATAACGTAATAGTACTAAGAAAATATGTCCTTACTGGAGCAATGAACCTTGATCCTCAATGTAGTAATCTTCTGGAGAAGTGAGAGCTAGGTCAGCAAAGCAGGAGAAATCCGCATCCGGAGTATACAGAAGATTATCAAGGCCTAAAGCTTGCCTCAGTTGCCTTTTAATGAGTTAAGGATAATAAGAAAATGAAGCACAAGAAGCAATTTGTTAGAACATAAAAAAAAATCCCACTTTGTAAACAATCATAGTACAGATGAAAGAATCACCTTGACCGTTCCAGATCCTGTAACTCTGTGACCCAGCCATTGTATCTAAGTTGCACGGTAACAACTGGCACTCCTACTAGCTCATAAATTTTATTAAATAATTCCAATTCTCTCCACTGGGATGGAAGTAATCTTTTTATTCCAGGGACATCACATGCTGCCATCAATGCGGAAACAATGATTAAGAATCAATTTCTATAAAATGAAAAGGTAAAAATGAAATTTTTGAAGAAGATCCAACTACAGACCAGCAACGTAAGCATCAGCTGTTACAAGTCTCTTGTTAGTAGCCTGCAATAATATGAAATTTAAAAATCAAGCCCTAAAATGATAATTGTGAAATCAAAACCTCAACATCTATAAGCTATTCAAATTGCATTTTAAATTGTTGCATATCAGACAATTCATTTGAACACGTTAATCCTTACACAGGCTCAATCTCTGAAACTGATCTGATCAAATGCTTAAATTGCAATATATTTCCAATATTTACAGAAAGCAGAATTAGAGGTGATTTACTTTAGACATGGCAAGTCCAGTGACATATGTCTCTCCATCAGCGGATTTATCATAAAGTATCTCTCTGCATCCCCACCTCAGATGGAACCTGTTCTAGCAAAATAAAGATATTAAACAAGAGAACTAGTCAACTCATTATAGAAAAAACCTATAAATTAGTGAACCATTATCCCAACTAAATAGTTTGTAGGCCTATGTTTGTAACATACCTGCCTCCTCTTTCTGTTATATAATTTCTGATTGGACCACTCAAGTAGACATCCGGAGAACCCTTCAGCATACGCAGAAGGGAAGCCTCTGTCTTAGTGGCAAACAGTGAGAAAATAGTGAGCATACATCGAGCACTGATGTTATCACAGTCAATAAAACCCAGAGCATAAGCAACCGGATCCCACATTCTCTGGATACTCATGCGTGTACCACCTTTAGACAAAAACCAATCGGAGAAGCTTATCTGCAAGAAGCAAATGAATTTTAAGTAAATGCAACAACATAAGGGGAAAAAAGAAAACAAAAAGCCAAGAACAAGATTTTAACTAGAAAAGAAGAATCGCATCAGGTGAAGGATAATTTCATGGTATTAAGATGATAAATAAGTACCTATGGAATTTAAAGTGCTGTCTTTAGAAAAACTCAAACTTGGTGATAATCCAGTAAGGAATAGAACCAAAAGAATGAAAGAGAATTATTACGTACACTATCCAAATCTCTTATATCACTCATTGCTCCATCTGGATCAACAAGAGCCTTCACAACTGGACTCAGGGCGAGTGCTAAAGCATTTCTTGCTTTATCATAAGTCTGCACTTGAAAAATATGAATGAAATGAGTCGCTTAAGCACCATCTACTTTAGCTTAGGGAAATGAAAAAAAAAACTAGTATTAACAGGAAAGGCATATTGTAGGCTACATGATTAAGAATTAGAAAAAAAAAGTCTGAGAACGCCATTGATGATAACACTGTGGCAATATCAACAATTATGGCAGATAATATGGGAGGAGCACTATAACAGACAGCACAAGGAATATAAAAGTAGTGCCAAGAAAAGGGAAGTAGTAGAGTATAACCTTCAGTTGATTTGTAGCTAAAAAAGCACGAATTCCATGTATAGGAGCTCCAACTGGAAATCTAAAATCAAGCTCTGCATCGAAACTCAAAGTCATGAAATTGAACCCAGGAATGAATGACTAAAAGAATAAATTTTTGGTTCAATTTTGAAGTCAGATCCTAACATAAAAATTAGTATCTTAGAATTTGGTTAAATAGGATCAAACACAAATCATACCACCAATTTCACCCCCTTTATTTACAAATGTGTGAGTATGATCCTTCACAAGTAGATTTTTATCTGCACCAACCTAGGATCAAGTAGAGATCAAGGAAAACTATCAGAGACCAGATAATACATTAAAGGCTGATAAGTAAAATTTCAACCGATTACAAAATAAAAAATAAAAAAATAAAAACCATCATTGGATAGCTCTTTTATTCAAAAATCTATTTCTTTGCAAAGTAAAACATGTTTTACAATGAATACAATTGCATGAAATGATACGATGTCAATGACCATGAGAAAGCCCTATCACTATTGTAAGGCCCCTTGCTTCACCTTTTTCATCAAGCGGAATAGATTGTTGTAGCAACCAAAAAAAACATGCAGCCCCATCTCAATGTGATTTCCTCTTCTATCAACAAAAGAACCTACTTTGCCACCAATGAAAGACCTGGACTCATATATATCAACCTGAAGAAACCAAAGCAGTCATCAAATTACAGCCACTATAATGAGAAATCACTAAAACCGTGTAAATTAAGAAAAGAAGTTTGCAGAAATAGGTTTCTGAAACTGCAAAATGCAAAGATATGGTTCTGCTTTGTAATTCTTATTTATATCGAAATGCCAATCTCGTCAAGATATTGTAGAAACAGTTATCTAGAGACAAGTAAAACCTCATGGCCTTGATCCAATAGCTCAACTGCTGTTGACATGCCTGCAAGACCAGCTCCGATAATAGCCACCTTCAGCTTTGGTCCCCTATAATGTACAGGTTCAGGTGGAAACAACCCCTTTGGAGCTGCCAAGAAAACAATCCAATTATCTACCATGATGACATGAATTTTGCTACAAACTACAACTATAATTCTCAAACATGATTATCAAGCATCAAATACCATTGGCCTTCAAATGATAAGAAACAAGAACTCTAAGCTATATCCCAACAGAATAACTTCAATTAATTATATGGAGTTCACTTTTCTCCCAAGCTGACAAAGGGAAAATCAAGATATTAAACAATTCAGCACTTTCCACCGAAGATAAGGCAAACGGCACTTTCGCATCCCAAAATCTCATGTCTGAGCCATGGCATCCTAGTAAATTCAGCAAAACTAACTACAATTCACTATGCTATCTATAAAAAACACACAAAAATATCACAAAAGCAAGAAAACCCAGAATCCAAAAGATCCCCAAGAAAACCAACTTTGGCATATAGCATAAAAAAAGAATTTCAACAGAATATACTAACCACAAAAAGAAGAAAACCCATAATCCAAAAGAGACCAAAAGATATTGAGGCAAAGGAAAAGAACACTTCAAAAAAAAAAAAAAAGAGATTACCATTTACACTCATGTCAGAAACATCGGTGTCTAAAGAAGACTTCACAAAGAGCCTAGGAGACTTCACCCGAGCCACGGAACCCAAGCCAGTGGCTGCAAAGAGAAAAGAAGCAGAAGCCATAGATAACCCAGAGGAAAAATGGGAACTTAACCTTCCTTCTTATACTATAACAAGTAATAATATTTTTCTTCGATCAACCAAAAAAAATAACATAAGAGGGACAGAGAGAAGGAATTTGGAGACCAAAGATGCTTAAAGGAGGAAGATTTGCCTGAGAATTAACCTCCAAGGTTCTGTTTTTTTTTTTAATAACTAAAAAACTAAAAAAACAAGTCTTTTTAATCTGGAAGTTTGGAAGGTTTTAAGTGACTTTGCCACTAACTGATAATGGACCAACCAAAGCCAAATTTTTGTTTTAGTTGAACAGTAACACAAAAAGATTAATCTCTTGTTACTGTTTCAAAGATTAACATTTTAATGGAAGGTGTCAATTATTTTCCTTATCTTTTTTTTTTTTTTTTAAAGGTGAATTGCCTAAGGAACAGGAAGGACCACGATACTTCTAGTTGCCTAATTTCTGGCCAATTGAACTCATGAGCACTTATTTTTTTTTTGGCTTCTGTCCAAATTAGACAATACTTGAGTTTATACTTTGTTTTGCTGTCTTTTACATTTATGGAACTTTTTATACTATTTTTTTGTTATCTTAGCATTTGTTTGGTAAGATTAAAACAGGGATTATTGATGGAAATAAATGGAAAATTTTCTCATTTTTTATCAAAAAAAGTACAGAAATTTTATTTTTTAAAAATAATATGAAATAAAAAAATTTATAAACTTTTTGGCCATAAAATTTAATCTAAATGAAAGAAATAATTATTAAGTGTCACGTGTCACATGTTAAATAATTATTAAATAATAAAAAACAATTTTATTTAATAAAAATTGAGAAAAAGATTATTGTTATCAAATAAAGAAAATCTAATTCGTTTATTTTTTATTTTTTAAATTAATATTAAGATTCGAATTTAAATTTTCAATTTTGACGTCAATTACAATATTATTAAATAATAATTTATTTATTTAATTTTTTAAAATAAGAAAATAGGGTTACTAAGAAATAAAACTTAAACATTTTACACACTAACATATGTTTTAGACTCAATTTTTCAATTTTTTCTCTTAAAGTTATCCAATAAAAATTAAAGAAATTTCATTCATTTATATATATATATATATATTTAATTATTTATTTATAAAATTGTTCTCTTCTTATTTCTCTTTCTTTCCTTACCCTTTTTGCCAAACATGACGTTAACGGCTCCACTTGGCATCGCGATTGCGTTTGAACGCAATGCCAAACCAGATTTACATTCCTTCCCTTAACCACGATAGGGACCAAAACGTCCAACAGAACCGCGTTCGGGCAACCGCAAAAAAGCTCTTTTGGATTCTTCACTCTCTCAAAGCAAATTCTCTCTTCCATTTGACCTCAGGAAAATTCCATAGATTTTCATCCCCATTTTGACCCAGGTACCACTTTTCTTTTATAAAGTTCTCTCTCTCTCTCTCTCTTTTTTCAATCCACCAATTCGGTTTTGATTTTCGACTGTGCTAATAAAATTTGATTCTTTTGTGATTTTCATTTCTGGGTCTTTTATTTTAATGCTTTTTGGTTAATGGGTTTTGTTTATTTTATGTTGGTCTGCAAATTTTCTCAAATGGGTTTGTTATATCTGTTTTTGTTCGATCATGGCTTGAACAATGTTTAATTTATTATCTAATTATTAATATAATACTTTAGTGCTTCAAGGATCTTCACAATGAAAAAAAAAAAAAAGCCTTTATAAAGAGCTTAGAATTGTAGCTACTTCTTATAGATTAAGTTGTTGACTGATTAGCTTAGTACTCTTTTTTTTTCCTTTTCTTGGCGCGTGTCTGTTTCTATGCCTGGTTGTCTCTATGTGTGCTTGTATGTAATTATGTATGAATGTGTTTTTGTATGTCTGTCTGCATGTATGTAAGAATGAGTTTATGTATGTATGTATTTATGACCGTATTTTTGTTTGTATGTAGGGGTTATGTATGTTATGTATGTATGTGTGTGTATGCGCTGGTGTGAGTGATGTGTTATATATATTGTTCATATGTATGTATTTTAATGAGAGTTACTTTTTGCAAAGGAGCATCAAATCCTGTTCAACTCTTTGATCTGATGACACATACACCGACAATTTGGCCAAACATATATATCTCTGCAAGCCTACATTAAGTCTCTCTCTGCTGTATCTTAATCAGTTTCCTCTCACAATTTGCTAACTGCAATGGAAGAATAAAGGGTGAACTCATGTTTTATTTGCTTGATAACAGCACAGGGTTATATCATAAAAAGAGAATAATTCTGATGGGCTGACTCTTAACAAAGAGAAGATAGTCCCAAATAGTTAATTTTTTTTTTCACAAAAATGAAAAACAACTTTCACATGTGAATGTGATTGATTACTTGAAATGACTCTGGAATGTTGTTGGCTTGGACATGGTTAAGTTTGGCTGGTTGATGTGTTATTCTCTGATTAAGGAATAATTTTTTGTTGGTTTGTCTTGAGAGCTGAACTTTGATGATCTTAACAGAAAAGGAAAGGTGTATACTTCGATGATATTAAGTTCTTAACGGAGTTTCTCGGCTCCAGCATTTTACTTGCTATATGCATTTTTACTATTTTTGTATTTCTATTACTGGCAAGTTTATATGATTTTTCTCATTTAATTTTGAAAAGCTCTTATAGATGAAGAATGCTAGAATTGTTACAGCAGAGGTTCCTCGAGGTAGGAATAATGACAAAATGAAGGCAGTATGGGACAGAAACTTAACAATTATATTCTGTGATCTTTGTATAAAGGAAAAAGATCATAATTGCAGGCGAGGAACTTATTTTAAAAAGGAAGGGTGGTCAAGGTTGGTTTCAAATTTTAACAAAGAAACTGGTAAGGAATATGAAAAGTCACAGCTGAAAAATAGGTGGGATCTATTGAAAAAAGAATGGAAGCTATGGAAGCAACTCAAAGGGAACGATACCTGTTTGGGGTGGGATTCAACAAAGAACAATATTGATACTTCAGATGCATGGTGGGAAAAGAAGTTAAAGGTACATGATTGATACTCATAACCAAAATTTTATTGATCTTTTTTCAAATTTCTCATATATAAGGTCAGTAATGCTCATGTTGAAATGTGCAGCTCATGCCTGAGGCTACGAAGTTCAAAAATGGTGGTATTGACCCAGAATTGGAAAACAAATTAGATTGGATGTTTCAGGGTATCAATGATGACATAACTTTGGCGCCCACATTTGGTTTACCGCCAACTGATGGAATTGATGATGATGAACTACCTAAAGTAGAGGTGGAGGTTTTCGCTGTAGAGGATATTGAAATGCCAAAAAAGGCAATGGATGAACATTTTAATGAGATCAATAACCATTGCATGGAACAGAATCCTCAGCCTTACTCTGAATCTGAGCACCAGTCAGAGCCACCACACCAAAAGAAGAGATCTCCGGAGTCTGGCTCTTCTGATCTCAACAAGGGTAAAGAGAAAGTACCAAAATTAGTAGGGAGAGTTTCAAAACTATCCTGGCAGATAGATAGATTGTGTAGTGCAGCTGAAAGTATGAGTACAGCAACTTCAGCCAAGTTAACTTCAGAGCCATACACCATTCCTGAGGCAGTTCGATTGCTGGATAACATGGAGGAAGAAGTTCCAAAGAAGAGCCTATTGTATTATTTTGCCACAAAGCTGTTGCTTAACAAAGACAAGCGGACTATGTTTATGTCATTGTCAACTGAGACTAGAGCTTGGTGGCTTAAAATGGAGATGAAGGAGAGCTCCAAAGTTTCTTCAAACAATAGAAAAGATGGTCAATGCAATAATAGCATTGTATAACTTTCTTTCAATATATTCTAATCAAGATGATGATGATGATGAAGCTAGGAACTTATAACTTTATTTCAATGTATTCTGATCAACTTATAACTTTATGATGATGATGTAACTATGAACTTAACTGATGGATGCTATGCATCCAGCTTAGTTATTCTCTAGGACCGTTTTTGTTTTGTATTTAAGTTTGTGAGTAATGGCTTTGTTTTGAGTATGAACACTATCCTCCTTTTTATGTAGATTAATTAAATACTTATTCACTTTTATATTTATTGGCAGTTATTGGAGATCTTTAATATGTAGATTAGGGATGTTCGTTTTGGTTTTATAAAGAATTTTGAACCAAACTGAAAATCTGGTTTTATAAAAGTTATGCCACTTTAAAGCAAATGCCTTTTTTAGTCCTTTGAAACAAAGCTTGAGTTTTTCCTTATGTCCTTATTCTCATTCTAAGAGCAACAAATTTGTATAAGCAAAACAAAAATTAGGCAGCCAAATAATCTCCTTGACTGTTTTAGCTCATCACCTACTTGTCATTTATTGAAAAATCATTAAATTTAAATGCTGTCTCAACCAAAAACTAGAGGCAAGGTAAAATCCAGTGTATTAGCTACTGGGTAGAAAAAACCAATTTCGAGGTAGGCCAGTTGCAGGTCTTAGTTGCAGGTCTTATATTGGAACAAGTACTCAATAACTGAAACTATGGTCCCATGATTCTACCATGAACTACCTAATTAAATCGGATTCAGACGAATTGGATGGATTTTTCAGGTTCGGGTCAACTTTATCAGCTCAAATTCTCATGTTTTCCTGCTCAAATGAGTTTTTTTTTTTTTTTTGCCAGTATTGTTTAAGTTTTGACTGATATAGTGATATCATTATCAGTGAAGCCTTCCTATAGGAAGAAAAGCAAAAGACTCATGTGAATTTTCCTATCAAATCCATCATTAAAGTACTACCAAATTCTATATATTAAAGTTCAAGCATCAAACACAGGAGAAGAGTCAAACAGACTAATATCAAACTACCACAAAATAGACCAAGCAACGCACTTCAAAGTTATGACCAAACAAAACCTTTCAGAAAAAACCTGCTTTTCTTTCCTTTCTTTTCTTTTTCTTTTTTGGTTACAATGGGGAAAGCAGAAAGGTCCTAGTTTACAGTTTCTTGTTCTCCTTTTGTTCTAAGTAAGCTAACATGTATAGCTCCAAACAAAGGATATTTTGATTTCCACTAGCTTTTATTTTTCTGATATATTGATAGTAAAGAGGCTTGATATATTCTTGAAATGCTTCATTGTTTTGACGTAATCTGGGGTGGATGGGATTCCACCAGTATAGACCAGAGGACATGAACATCCTCATCTGGACAGGACTTTACATCCTCATATAAAATGTATATCCCTCTACCTGAAAATCACAAAAAAAAAAAGAAAAAGATATAAAATGTTCAATCATAAAAAAGAAGAGACAGCAATGAAGAATGCAACTACTATGCAGTCATGGAAACTCTTAGAATGCCAGTCGATAATTCTAAATACAATCTTCATTCGTGCAATATTGCATGTATGAATGTGTGCACGGGCGCGAGTTTGTGTGATAAGTGAACGAATGAAGTGCCCATAAGGTATGTTATGCTACAAAACGTGGCAGAAAAATGGAACAATGAACTATAATGATACTACTAGAATGGGAATTATAAATATTAAGTACTCTTTCTTGGAGCTGAGTGCATCCGAAACCACAGCTTCTTCAATGGGGAGAGGAGGGATTGCAACCACCCCATTTGAGAAAGAGGAAGTGCTTCATGGTAGGTGAAAGAAATGAAGCATATAGAGGGGGGAATGTTGCATTGCTTAAACAATGGTGAATTATAGAGTACAACATCTAGCACCAAATTCCATCTTTTTGCTGGCTAAAGATACAAAAAAGAAAACCAATTTAATGTTTGGTGATCTGTCTTTTCATCCATCTTCGCCCTTGTAGTATGAGGAACCCTTCTTAGACAATTACAATACTCAGTGTGATCTGCAATCTGTTCTCTCAGATTCCCTACCTTCTAACTGAAGTCATAGTTTCATAGCCCGCATCAATACAATTGTCGGCACCATTACATCCTTGAACAACACCGACTAGATGAAGTTACTATCTTTTTTCTCTAGTGGCCCATCTGTAAGGATAGACTGCAGCCATGAGTGTGAAACTAGAGGTTAGATCAGATGGTTAATGCAGTCACTCCTAAGAAATGGCATCTAGTGGGTTTAGGATTCGAATTCTAGTACCTGCAACTCCTTGCTTTATCCCTAAGCTGGGGCTTCCTATGTTCCAAAAAAAAAAGAAGGCAGCCATGAGTGCTATTTCAGGGTCATGTCTGTGGAGGCAGTTGAACAAGCGACTCATAAATTTTGTCAAGTGAGATGAGCCAATGACTCAAATGCATTCAGTCAAATTTTGGAGCAAGAATCAATCCCAGGTTGGACAATCCGATAAGTCAAATGCTTTCAATCTGCTTTTTGAGTAGGATTTACAACTATATTTCATTATTTTAAGATGTCACACAGCCAAATAGGTAAACTTTATGAAATAGTTCCCAGCAATCACCTTTAACAATAGGTAATGGCGTATATTGAGGTCAAAACTTGGTTGGTATTTGACTATGACAACATCTGATAATTTTGCCTTTGGAATTTGGAGGTTTAGGTTCAAGAGGGTTTTGATTGACGTTAAACGCCACCTGACAACTTGACAGAACCTCCAACTCTCCAGGCATTTCACATGCTTTATTCATGCCATAATAGCAGTTTGGAAACTTCTTCTGGAGAACATTAGTTTTCATGTAGCTGAATTGCATTTCAAGCTAAAATTGGAATTGTCATCTTTGAAGTGGGGAGACAAAAAAATATCAATCAACATAAACAAGAGATTCTAATATTGATTGATTAATTTATTCTTCACAAAATTGCTTCCAACATTCTCTGTGGAAATTCTCTTTATGCCTAGCAGGCTCACTAGGAGACTTAGGAATTGGGATTCAATAACAGTATTACAATTCAAAGTTGCAGTAGATGATAAAATATCACCAAAAAGAGGCTTCATCTGTCCTGAAATGCCATTTACCAAACAAATAAGTAGGTGACAGATTGCTGCAGAAGATTTTCATATCTTTAAGATTTTGAGGAAACAGTCTTAAAATCCAAATAAGCAGCCGAGTATTAGATTATGTGATTACACAGATAAGAACCAATATAAATGTAAATGAAGCTAATCCAAGTACTGCACCAAAGATCCAGAAAGCCTTCTGGAGCAAACGCAGTGAAGCAGAAATACCAGAGTGTTTCATCTGCACCATTGACACAAAAAGAGAAAGAAAAGCTAATGAAGAGGTTAACAAAAATTTGCAACTTAATTTGTGGACCAGTCTGCTCAAGAAGGCATTGCATACCTGTACTTGGCTTTGCATCATTACATCAATTAGACAGCATGAAAAAAAAGAAACATAAAAGGGCCTTTCATAATTCAGAAGCTTAGGGAACAATGTTTTAAGAATAATATCTTACAGAAATAGTAAAAGCATACAATCAGAGGTCTGAAAAGCTATGGGTCGTCTTTGGATGAGAATGATTTTGTTTTACCTGCATCACAAGATGAGAAACTTAATCAGTCATTGACAGTAGCTTTTACAACATTGAAAAGAGGCCTTTCTAGGTGTCAGTGTGGCATGCAGTGTGTTTAAAGTTAAGAGAACCAATAGAGCAGAGCAGAACTAATCAATCCTGGAGATAAAGCTGGCTTATCCATTCATCCAGATTAAGTCATAATTATGAGAATTCATGTCCTAGTCTCGTGAAACTTAACCAGTTTTCTCAGCAGCCATATGTTGTAAAAGCTTGATTGTAGGACTATATTTCCAGGGCCTCTTGCTCCAACCTAATTTTGATTGGATATGCTGCTTTAAAAACAAGGTGAGACAAATGCATTTTGCCACAAGGTAATATTCTAATACAGTGAAATCTAATATTATCAAATGTACAAAAATAAAAACAAAGAAAAAAAATAGTTACTTGGTAATAAAAATATTGGAAATGGAAAGAGTGGTTTGAGGCCTCTAACAATGCCTAGCTTATACACCATAAGTTCAGAGAACCCAACTTGGGTTCACTAAATATGACAAATTTGGGCCAAGTTTGGTCCAATTGGAAAGCCCAATTAAGCCTTATGATGGAATTTTATGCATATAATTTTTCTGACCTTGAAATTTCAAATACTCGATGTGGGTTTGCAAAGGAAAAATGCAAAAAGAATAAAAAAGCTGATAAAAAGTAATGATAATCTGATTTTTTTTGGAATGATGATAGCAAATTGTCATAACCACAAAACAGAAAAAGGAAGATAATTTGCTTGTCTATAAAGATAGCAAAAAAGATGACAACCAAAACGAGGATTTGAATTATAATAGTGTTATAATAATCATAGCAATTAAATTATACAACGGATAATAAGCTTACCCTATTAAAAAATGATCTAACTCCAAACCAAAAAAAAAAAAAAAAAAACTCACAAATTATGTGTTTGAGTCCTTTAAATGCATATACATTTTTTTATAACGCAATCTTAATATCTTAAATTTTATCTAAATTCGATAAGATACACATAGACAAAAATATTTTTGTTGTTAAATGATAATAATAATGATAATTTTTTATGTAAAAGAGATTGCAATAAAGTTTTAGATTTAAATTTTAAATCTATCAGATGTTATTTTTTAAAAATAATTAAATAAATTAACGAAACGAAGCATGAGTTCAATAATAAAGAGACATTGGTAATGGTTAAGCAAGTGACAAAAAAACTAATGAGCCAAAATTGACTTAAAGAATTGGTACAAAGCAAAAGCTGTGGAAACTGACTAGAGATGTTGGGAGGAGTATGCATGATGACAACTTCTAAAGGAATGCACATAAAAAAGATTAAAGACACAAAGGAGGAATGATATATATGTATAGATGCTCATTGTCATGAAAAAGGTGAAAAATGGCAAAGGCTAGGTTGGCAAAAAAACAAAAGTTCACAAAGCTGTTTATCTTCTTTGCACTTTTTTCTATTCTCTTTGTCCCGCATGAATTTCTCTGCTATTCTTCCTCATTGTGTCCCCTACCTATCAATCTTTTTCTCCCCCCACCACCACCACCATAATAATAATAATAATAATAATAATAATAATAATAATAATAATAATGTTTATGCATGTTAAACTTAAGTAATATCTTAAATTTCAAACACTCTTAAATTTTTTTAAAAAAAATTAATAATTTAAAATACGACATGAAAAAACACACGAAAAATAAACATAAAAGTAATATGATTTAAAATTTTAACAAAAATTATAAATAATTTTAATAAAATTAAAAAAAATATTTTATATTTTCGTGACGATACGAGTTGTGACAAATAATTTTTACATAAAACACAATATCAATATACGAATTATTGATATTTTATATGAAACGAATACACAAATTATTAAATTTATATTTTTTATTCGTTAAAACAATATGATATTTTAGTTTAAACGATATGACTTCTTTATAAAAAGTTTTTTTTTTCATTGAAAAGTTTAATATTTTAAAAGTAAAATTATAAATGTATGTGGAAGACTCAAGTCTCTTAGATCTTCATATGAATAAGAAAGATTTTAAAGTTTTTCAAAAGATTTGCTGAGATAGTTTGTCAAAGTTAAAATAAAGGGAAAAAGATTACTTAATTAATTGCTTGTTATCACTAAAAACCCAATTATTAATTGATTCATTAGAAATGATACGCTAATAAAACCAACAAAATCTATCAAATCCTTTGCCTTTAATAAGAAGCATTAATGGAAAAGTTATTAAAATAAGACTAAGAAATAAGGAGAAGACAGCCTTATTCCTCAAGTTTTTATCAGTATTATCCTTACCCATATTAAAGATTATGCATTATGTCCTTCGTACTTTAGTACTCTAACGATTTACTATTACAATAAACAAAGTGATTAAATTCCTTATAATTTAATCTAAAGTTGTCCTTTATATGAGGTGATTACTCTAAAAATTATAATGATTTACATATAATGATTAAATTATTATATTTGATAAGTATTTGATGATCTTACGTAACGATGATTTTAGATTATCGAGAGTAATTAAATTATTATTTTAAAAGGTGATCTAATTTTTATACAAAAATATGAGAAACTTTTATTATTAAGGTGAACTGACACTTAAAATTAACAATGATTAAATTTATCCGTTTAATATATGAATTAAAAATTGTTGCATATTAAAATTATAATTATTTTATATTATAAATGTTTATATTTCAAACTAACATTCATTACAAGAAGTTCAAAATAATTTGTATATTTTTTGTTTTTAATATTTTATATAATATAATATTTAATTTTTATTATAAATTTAATAGATTGGTTTTATTTTCTAATTTTTATTTTTTACATAATTTATATTATAAAAATAAATTTACCTATCAATAAATATATTTATTAATTTATTAATTTAATTATATTTTAGTATTAAATAAATATTAATATTTTACAAATTATTATCTTTAAACAACCTTAAAGTTATTAATTTGTATAATTATTTTCTTACTTTTAAACAAAAAATGTTTAATTTTTAGTAATACCAAATACATCAATCTTTAATTTTTAAGAATTAATCATTGTTAATCAAATAAAATGATTTTAAATCACAAATTTTAAGATTATTTTGATAATAAGATCACTCTAATAGTTAGATTATTACGATGATTTTATAAAAATCAAACGTTGCCTAATTATCTTAAATCTTGTTAAAAAAATATTTTATTCATTCTCAATGAAATTTTAAATTGCATAAATAAAATTAATCGGAGGAAAAATATCGCTTAAAATATAGTACATGTTGATTTAATAATGTAAATTAGTGTTATGACTAATTTTTTTCATAAACTATTGGGTCCGATGATTGCGTTTATGTCGGTCCAATTATTGACCATGGCATATGTAATAAAGTAAGGTTTGTGTAAATAAAAATGCATATAAATATTTTGTTAGGGTTTGTCATCGAGTCCCATGCTTTGACAAATTATTGCCCCTAGGGCTAACCAAGTGAAGGGATTGCCTATGTCCGAGACCTTTTATTATATTAAAAATCATATCATAAATCATAATTGCAACATTTATATGTCTCTCAAAATTTATCTTCAATAATTAGTGAGATTATTTATGATTAAAAATTCATAAAATAAATTTAAAATTTAACTAAGTTAATTCATATAATCATTATTAATAAATAATATTTATTAAGTTCAAATTAATTTGTAATTTATTTATCTATTCTCAAATTACGATCTCTTATATATAAAAAAAAACCCACGAAATAAAAATTCTCTATTTAAAAAAGCCAAAAAAAAGTAGTCATATTTAATTAATTTAATGATTAAAATAAAAAAAACTTTTAAACTTTATCATTTTATTTATATAAATTTTAATATCTTTATTATATTTAAATAAACTTTTAATCTTTTAATTTTACTCAAATAAATCTTTACCCTTTAATTTGTAATATGAATTAATCTTTCGTTTAAAGTAACAATTTATTTTGATATAAGTCAAAAGACAAAAATTTATTTGAATATAACAAAAATATAAAGATTTATTAAAAAAATAATTTATGAGTTTTTTTAATAATTTAATTTAATTTAATTTAATTAAAAGAAAATGAAGGAATAAAACGGGCTTTTTGGAGGCCCAATAAGGAGGAAGAGTACAAAAAGTTGAACCAGTTTGGGCTGTAACGCAATGCTGACTTGCTATGGACAAATACACGTGATTACCACGTCTTTATTCTCCGTAAAGTTCGAATTTTAAAATTTTAATTTTAAACAAAAATCTTAACCCAACACTGATTGTCTCACACGCTACAATTGGGCGTGGGCGACACTTTCCTATTTAAATCACCATTAAAAAAAATTATTCCTTTCATTTTTCTCTTGATATTACCTTAATCATTAAAATATGCTAAAATAATAAAAATTAATTGTTACAAACAAAGGGAAAGTAAAATCTAAATACATGGGATTTGGAAAAATGTGCTATCTATCCAAATAAAGTTGGAAAATATCTCTAGTTGTATTATGAGTTTGTTTTTATATATTAATAATTATTTTTTTAATTTATTTAAGAGATTATCATATCTTTTATTTCTTTTTTTTTTTTTATTTTTCTTTATTATTTAAGGGGTATGTGTTGTTTTACTAATCTCAATAATAAATTTTATTTTTTTATATATTGATAATAAATTTTTTAATTTTACAAATAAAATTAAGAAATTGTCATATTTTTATAAAATATATGTGTGTGACTTTATTAATTTCAAGAGTAGAGTGTTTTTTTATATATATTAATGGTAAATTTTTTAATTTCACAGATAAAATTAAGAGATTAGTACATTTTCATGAAAGAATGCATCATCTTATTGATTTTATTTATAAAATCTAAAAATTTAACTAATATTGAATTAATATCATGATTCACATAAACTTATGAAGTATTATATGTTTTTATAATTTAAATCTTATAATTTTATCTCATAAAAATATTTCATAAATAAAAATAATATGAACATTTATATTCTAAAATTGATTTCAGTATACAATCATTATAGGATTTATAGTTTCTTTCTAGGATCAGAACATCCTTTCAACTCCAACAAGGATTTTTTTTTTTTTTGGGTACATTACTAATATCCCATAATCAATTTATAAAATATTATTCATTTCAATCTATTAATTTCATAATTTTATTTTATAAAAAATATCTTATAAATTAAAAATAATATGAATATTTATATTTTAAAATAAATTTTAATGTATAATCGATGCACGATTCATATCTATTCTCTAATACATTACAATAACTATTCATTGAATTTTTAGCTTAATAATTTCTCATATATTTAAAAACCCTTTGGAATCAAAATCCAACCTACCAAAAGACAACTCATTTCGATTCCACAAACTAAAAAAAGCTAAACATTTAGGCAAAAGAAAAAGCCAAAAGAGATATGATGATGAGGCTAGCATTGAGTGAGTATTTGCCAAAATGGGTATCTTTTGGCCTATGAGTCTTATTCCATTCCTAGCCTCAAGTTTTCGTCAAATGTGTTCAAAAAGTTTATATTACAAAATTCTTATTTGCAATTATGTTTGATTTTATAATCAAATGTGATACAATTTCAATTCCCAGGTAATAAATTCATAAACATGAAATCAATTTTATTGCTTTTGAGTTCTTAATTTTATTATGCTTATATAGCTATATATACACACACAATAAATTCAATAATTGGTTAATTCTATTTATTTTAAATGTTTGAGAATAAAAGTATAAGTCCTACTTCAAACTTAAGGCAAAAATGAAAAAAGCATAAACATTGTAATCATCAAATCAACTATACCATCACAATATGCTAACCATGTCTTTATGTCAAAGTATCAAAACCATATTTTTATTATTTATTTACAAAATCATGCTTGCAATTTTCTTGTTTCCCTGGACCTCACTAGATGAACCACTTTATTTTATTTTTCTCTCAAAACTCAATTTATTTATAGTCTCCAAATATATTCTCCAGAGTCCAATGAAACTTGAAAACAGCCTCAAAGCCAGCTCGTTTCAATATTTTTGCTTAGTTTTTTATTTTACTTTCTTTTTTCTCAGTGAAGAGGAATCTTCATAAACCAGCCTTTTCCAGCAATACCCAGTTGCTAAAAGTCTTCATATTTTCTTTCTCTTCCTTTTTTTTTTTTCATGCTGTCATTTTCTGGAGGTAAAAATTTATTTCTTAAAAAAATGTTTTGTAATTTATATTTGTACCATTGACAATGATTGCAGAGAATTTGCAGTGAAAGAACACTGCTTTTTGACTGCTTCTTCTTTCTTTGTTTAAGTTTTTAATTGACTTGAACTTGATCTCCACTCTCTCTCAATTTGTCTTTAAATTTTGAAACTTTAAAAATTTTCTATTGATGGGTGTTTCAGTTTCTTGCAGAAAAAATATGCACCACCCCATATCAAAATCAAGCTTTGACAAGCGGTTTTTGAGGCAGTTTTGAGATGGTTTTTTGAGACAGTTTTGTAACTGACCAGTTTAAGGTAAGGCTCTATCTCTCACTTCTTTACTCTTTGTTTATGTTATTTCTGTCTCCTTTGTTTTTGTCTTTCGAAGTCTAAGTCAGTTTTAATTCTGTAGTTTAGGTTGCAAAAGGTGGGCAGAAAAGAGTTTGTGGAAAGAGTTAAAGAGAAAAAAGAATTGAATTTTAAGGAATTGCAGTTAGTTTGTTAGAAAAATGATAGATTTTCCATCTTGTTTTGGTGAAAATGGAGTGCAAGTGGCTGATTCTTCATCATCAAATACAAGTAAAAATGCACACAATTTGGTCACTTGTGTCTATCAATGTCGAATTCGCGGTAGGTCTTGTTTAATAACTGTTACTTGGAGCAAGAATTTGATGGGGCAGGGCTTAAGTGTAGGTATTGATGATTCTGCAAATCAGTGTCTTTGTAAGGTTGATATAAAGCCCTGGTTGTTCTCTAAGAGAAAAGGGTCTAAGAGTTTAGAAGCATATTCTTGTAAAATAGACATATATTGGAACCTTTCCACGGCGAAATTTGGATCTGGGCCTGAACCTTTGGAAGGGTTTTATGTTGGTGTTGTTGCTAATAAGCAAATGGTTTTGCTTCTTGGGGACATGAGGAAAGAAGCTTATAAGAAGACTGGGGCTACTCCTGTTCCTTCTCCTGCCATTTTTGTGGCCAAGAAGGAACATGTTTTTGGCAAGAGGGTATTTGGTACCAAGGCACAGTTTTGTGATAATGGTCAAATTCATGATCTGATAATTGAATGTGACACAATTGGTGTGAACGACGCTTGCCTTATAATTCGTGTGGATGGAAAGGTTTTGATGCAAGTGAAACGGCTACTGTGGAAGTTCCGAGGAAACCATACCATTTTGGTTGATGGAATGGCTGTAGAAGTTTACTGGGATGTGCATAATTGGCTATTTGGAACATCACTTGGAAATGCCGTTTTTATGTTCAAGACATTCCTTGGAGCAGAAGAGAAGTTCTGGGCTAGCCAATCCATTCCTGCTCCTAATACATTGCAATGGTCTTTCTCCCAGAGATTTCAAGACTCCAAGTCACAAAATCTTGGCTTTTCACTGATTTTGTATGCTTGGAAGAATGAGTAGAGAGATTCTTCTCAACTCTCAAGTGCTAACAAAAGCTTTTAGTGAGTTGTGATTTTTATCAACTCTGTGATTAATTTTAATTAGTTTGATAAAAAATGGGTCCATTTGTTTCTTTTGTGCTCCTTCAGTTTTTTCTCCATTGAGTAACTTGAGCTATTAATGGATCAAAGACAACTTTTTTTGTTCTTAGTCGGTTGTATATCCTAGATACATTAGTTTTATTCTCAATTTTTGTTATACGAAAAAAAAATTCTTCAATGGATGGTTGTTCAAATCTTCCAGCTGCAGTTTGAGTTAGTTTAGCAGATGTTATCGACTAGCTGAGTTGAAATCTCCTCTAAGCATCACTGCATAAGCATGGTATGTGTTTAACTATAAGTATGCCTTTCTTTTTTTAGTTAACTCAGCTGAATTCAACATGAATTGGTTTAGTTTAAGATTATGGGATAACAAATGGAATATTTGAGGTCAACTGTCAAAATGCACCGATAACTGCATTTTGATGTAGTATTTAAGATTATTGGAAGAGGATGGTCTTGTCCAAAAAAGGACGCCTGTCTTTCCCTGATGAATTGGTATGTTAAGTTCCCTAGCTTTTGTGGTAACTTTCTAGTGTCCTATCAACTAATGTCCTAGTAATAGCTGTGAAAAGTGTTTAGTTTCATGTAAGTCACTCTTGTGATGGATTGAAACACCCTTGGTAGTATCACTGTCTTGCTAAACTGCGAAGTGTCATGGAAAGATCTGCACTGATATTCACTGCATGAAGGGTTTAAACTGTTGAACTCCTTAGCGAAGTGGCCGAGAGGGCACCTTCTGTTGCATCTAGACTTTTGAATATTCTTTGAACTTTGCAAATCATAAATAACGAATTCGTTTGATTTCTCACTTAATCTTCTTTTTTCCTGTTATACAAGTGTATAACTAATTTATATCCATTGTATGCCTGCTCTATTTTGCCCATTTATCGCCATATTCATGTTCCGATATTTTCAACTTATCTCCTGCCTGCCTTGCATAGAAGTCATGGGGCTTATTGAAATCTTCGTGTGGATCGATGGTATCTTGCTGAAAACTTTCTAAGTAATGTCAATCGATCCAAATTAGAGAATCAGCCAGGTATTATAATGTTTTGTTAAGACTGAATATTTCTTTTGCCATCAAAGACTTCTCTTAACAGCTTCTTGTCATCATTATATTCTCACTGCAAAATATATTTGTAAACTGATGATGAGAATTTGAGTTTCTAAAAAGTGTTAAGAGGGCACTTTTCTAGTAGAGTTTTGTTATTGCTACCTTTGAAACTTACTTTTCCTCATGTTCTGCAAAATCACCATTGTTATCTGTGGAAGCTAGAATAATTTCTTGGTTACAGATTGATTAACTTGACATGATATCATTCATTCACTCCCCTTGATTTGGGAATGACGGATTCGAACTCTGCTTTTGAGCAGCAAGAATTCAGGTATTAATTATTGAATTGTTTCTCAGCACTTCGATTTAATTAAAAAATTATCTTATTGGCGCTGCTGCTGTTGCAATCCAGAGTGGCTCGTACTTGAAAGACCTAGTCTTACAAGTTTGAAGTCTAATTGTCAAAACTTACAATTTTTTCTTCCACAGAAAAATAAAATCCATTCAAAATATTAAATTATTTTTTGAATTAATACTATTAGTATAATATTTCACTATGTATAAAGTAAATTCAATATGATAATCAAAATTAAATAATATTATGTAAAATTGTACTAATAATTTCAACGGTTAAGATTTGTTAAATCACAATAATAATTCATCTTTAATGATATTAATCTTGAATGCACGATTTTTATAAATTAAGACACATTTTATCTTGATACTGATTTTTTTAAAAGGGAAAAAAAATAAAGGATTATGTGGATATTAATTAAATACACAAATATAAATAAAAATAAAAAAAAATAAAAATGCATGGCCAATGATGGGCTGGCTCGCTATCGATATGTTTCTTTCGAATGATCCTTTGAGCGGCTTCCAGGTGGCATACAGCTGTTGATGCCATTAACGGAACTACAACAAGGACCTTCAAGCGGCGCCGTTTTACCACGTTCGCTAGTTGCCTCGCTCTTCCCCCTAAATTACACAGATGACCGATCACTTGCCCCAAATAACAACACAAGAACCGATGGCAAAAGAGTCATTCCACTACTCAACAAAGCTGATGGTGTAATTTCAGCGCCAAATTGAGGGCGTTTCCGTCATTTAGCTGTATCCGACAAATGAAATTTTTTACACTAGACACGGCCAAAGAAGGAGGAAGAAAGCTAAGACATGGGATTCCAACTCAGTTTACTCATTGAATTTCGTTAAATTTCTTGAAACTGAGTGGAAAAACAAGCGATTAATGGGCGATTCAAGTGACTCAGTAACCATTGATATTGATATGAATGAATAATCTTTTGGTTTTGAGCATAATTTTGCTTTTTTCTTTTCATAAACAAGTTTATTAAAAAAATCAACCATTTATTATCTTAATCCAATTAACTTCCATTTTTGTGATAACAAATAGTACCACATAATATTTTTATTTCAGAAAGCTATAGATAATGAAGCAGTCCTAGACTTCCATAAGAGAAAAGACAAAAACCTCTTCTCAGAAGCCAATCATGATCACTTACCGCAGCAGACATGAGAACTAATTAATGTGATACTATATATAAAAGAACTAGCAAAGCCCAACCACTTTAAGGGGATTGTTTTTTATCAGATTTGGCTAGATGAGTTGGAATGGCTTATATCAAGATTCAAATTTCAGACTTGATAAATGTTATCTTTTAAAAGAAACTGTATGAACTAAATAAATTCAATTTTAAATTCAGTTGAATATTGCTGTATTGCCCATCTATGAAACAATCATCTTTCGATTTTGATCATAATTTTGCCTTTTTTTTTTTTTAATGAACATGTTTTCCCAATGATGTTCAAGGACGGTTAATCCAAGATTTACTTTTTCCATAAAAAATCAACAATTATGAGTTAAACGGGGATGAGCTTAAGTAAAAGGTTGAAGGTTAATTCATATCATTGGCTCGACATTAATCTAATCAAGTTTTTTACTTAAAGAATGAACAAAGATGATGTGAAATTGTTATTATACATCAATTTATATTTTTTTAGTCAAATCATATTATGTAATCATTTTATTAAAAAAAATTCAAACAGTTATTAACTTAATCCAATTAGCTTCCATTTTTTGTCAAAACAAAGTAGAAACCCATAGTATTTTTATTTCAGGTAGCCATAGATAATGAAGCAGTCCTAAACTTTCGTAAGAGAAAGAGGACAAAAACCTCTTCTCAGAAAGCAAATCATAATCACTTATTGCAGTAGACTTGAGAGCTAATTAATGTGACACTATAGAGGAGCTAGCAATGCCCAACCACTTTTAGGGGATTATTTTTTATCAGATATGGCTGGATAAGTTGGAATGGCTGAGGTTTTGAACCCATTGAAATCATTCCCACAAGAAGAGCTATATGCACCGATGTTATGAAAGATCAGCCAGTCGTTCACGCCCAGTTCTGGCAGCTGGTAACCTTCCAAAACCATATCTTGAGGATCACATGTCGGTCCAAAAACTTTGGAATCATATGTCTTAAGCCCTTTGAATGTGGTGGTTTTGTTGCTGCCACAGTTGGCTAGAGGAGAGCAAATCACATCATCATGGTCATATTTCAAAAAGCTCATAGACCCCCAGATCCCATCATTGATCCAATACTCTTTGATGCCATCCCTAACTCGCTTCCCTATAACGCTTGTAGCTAATGTGAACGGCGTTTTTGCGAAGAAACGACCAGGTTCTGCTATAATTGTGAAGCCAGCAGGCTCATTAGGGAAATATTTTTGTAGAGCAACTTTCACTGCTGAGGCTGCTTCAATAAACTTTGGACCTGATGTGAAGCCTCCGCCAATGTCCAGGATATGCATTTTAGGCAGGCCAAGTTGGGCTGCTGCTTCAAATGTTGTCTTAGCTGCAGCTATGGCATCTTCAAATGCAAGGAAGTTAATGGCTCTGCTACCAATATGGAATGAGACACCCACAACTTTGAGATGTGCAGCTTGAGCTGCTTGGAGAAGAGAAACGATTTCCTCAGGGAGTGCACCGAATTTGGAACCGAATTGAAGTGTCGCACCACTAGTTTCCGGGATTTTGATTCGGATCAACAGGGCGCATTTCGGATGCCATTTTTTAATCTTTTCGAGCTCACACTTGGAATCGAAAGTAGTTAAGTTAACACCAACTTTAGCAGCATACTTGATGTGAGACTCGGGTTTGCATGTGTTCGCAAAAACGATCCGATCAGGTGAAACCCCTAGAGACAAAATGGTCTCAATCTCAGCACGGCTTGCACAATCAAAGCCAGTGCCCAGAGCTGCCATTTCTTTGAGGAAAGCGGGGCTGGGATTGCACTTTACAGCATAGAATGGTTGAACCATTGGAAGATTACGAGTCCATGTGTCAACCAGGGAGTTGACAACACCCAAATCAAGCACGTAAAATGGATCCATTTCATGTTGTTGTTCATTCAAAACGACTGATTGCATGAAATCGATCAGCTCATCTCTTGATAAGGGTGTTGCCAACCTCTTTTCTGTCACCATTGCTTGGACACTCTTTGAGAGTTGATAATGAATTCTAGTCGGTTGAAAGAGAGGAAGAAAGATAATCCAAAAGAGTGTGAGTTACCAAATGGTTAGGAGGGTCTATTTATAGAAATGGATAATTTATGTTCTATTTGATTAATGTTTAATAAAAAAATAAAATCCAATAAACGAAATTTTAATAAACAATGGAAAATGAAAAACGTTGTTCATTGAAATAACTCACTTTGAAGTTTAGGAGGTAGAGTTTTGATATTGGTGTTTACACTTGATTTTTCCTCATCTAATGGACGATTGACATATGGCATGTAAATGAGGATGTGTAACTTAAAATTTCATTCTTGCAGAGAGTTTAATTCGGAAGCTATCTGTCAAATTTTTAATTTAATTTTTGTTAGTGAAAATAAATAATCAACTTATAAGAGTATAAAATTAAAAAGTTTAATTGGATCAAATACATTGAGACAAAAAGAAAGAGAAAGAAATTGAAGAAAGATCTTATGAAAGCTAATGCTCAACTAGTAATAAGATAAATAAAAATGAGAGTTCAAATGATAGGTAACACTTTAATAAAAATACATTATGTCTCATGATTTTTGAATACTCCAAGGTAACCTCTAATATTAGTGGTTCAAATTTTTATACATTTAAGGAATTGTAAAATGCATTTGACGAACTAACTATAAAATTTTAATTAAAGAGTTTGAAATACAAAAAAATAATTTCAAAATTAAATGTTAAAAATATTTTTTTGGTAAAATCAAAGAATAAAATTTGTGACTAAATTAAAGTTGTAAATGTTTAAAACTCTACGGAGAATGCAATTGGTTTTGGCATCACTTCGTATTTGCTTCATATACTTTGTATATTTGGAAAGAGTTTCATACTCTCTTTTTATCATAAATTATGCTCCAATATCATGAGCTATTATAAATATCCTCATTCTTATTTTTCATTCCCATAACTTATCTTTATTAAATTTGAAAGTTTCGAGGATTTTTGCACCATCTTGAAAATTATTTTGAATCACAAGATCTTTTACTCAAAGTTATTGTACATGTTTTTAAGTTGTATTATTTTTTGTGCTAAATAAATACTATATTTTTTTAAGTGATGTTTGATTTGAAAAAATATCTTAAAAAATATTTTAGAAGTTTGGTCTTAATTTATATCAAAGTACAGGTTTCCAAGATTAATAGTTAAATAATTAAAAAATTAATATTTGTGTAATGTAACTTACTCAACTGCTAGACAAAGATGCTTTATCTGTTTGATTTTTTTGTTCATTTTTTTTAGTGTATTAATATTATTTTTTTAATACCTAAAATTTTTACTTTTATATTTTAAAATTATTTTATATTTTTTATTTACTTTTTGATATTAAAAATCTTGACAGTTCAAGTTTATAAAAATTTTAAAATTTAATATTAAATACACTATCATTAAAATTTTGTTCTTAAACTTCATAAAATTTAAAAAGTTTCAAACAAATTTGAGATGTATAAAATTTTCTAAAAATTTGTTAGATTTCTTGTGGTGCTGCAATCATATATGAAAAAAAAAAGAAAAAAAATATAATATATATGTAAAAATATAAATATAAGCTTATAATACATTTTTTATGAAATAAAATCATAAAATTTTTAGATAAAAAAAATAATCTATCGCAGGTTAAGTATAAATTTTCATAAATATTATCAGAATAATTATCAGTTAAATAAAAATTAATTGTTACATCATGTGAGCTACATTTAAAATTTTACAAGAATTAATAGTGCTATATGATATGAGTCACTTCAAAAATTTTAATGTTTGGTGTGATTTGATTTTGTGTGCGTAACTTGATAAAGACGTCAAAATTTAATAAAAATATTTTTGACATTTTAATTTTATATTAAAATATTTTAAAAATTTATTATAATATATAAATTTAAACTTAAATTCAAACTTAAAAAATATTTTTTTAAAAAAAAATTATAAAATTTTTAAATTAAAATAAATAATATCGAATTCTAAGCTTCCAACATTTCCGGTACGTGGTCGGTGAATGCATGCAAATACGAAAGGTAGCATATTTGTGGTAGCTAAGTTGAGGTACTACAAAGCACGTGAAAAAAATTATTGTCCGAAAGAGAGTAAAAGAATTGTACAAAGAGACTGAAAAAGTACCTCTACAAGGCACGTGCAAAATGAGAAAATAGAACATGTGTAATAAATAATTGTCAGGAGAAATCAATGCTATCGGGACCATATGTACTATAACAATTAGTTTACTATTATAATTGTTATAATATTATGTTTTTTTTTTGACAAATTTTTATTCTTCACCCGTGATTGATTTACCATTAATTGTGTCGAGGAAGTAACTTTTTTTGGCGAAAGGAGAAATTGTTACTATTACAAAAGGATTACCAATTGGTTAAGATTTAAGGGATATATGTTTTTTTTTATATTTAATAGAAAAATTCAAAGGTAACAAAAATTTTATATTTTATGCATATTTAATATAATTGATCATTAAATAAATACATAATTTATCAAAACTATTTGACGTCATAATTTGTTCACACAATTTTACTTTTTTTTAAATTAATTTTTGTTTATTTTTTTATTCATTTTAAGATCATTAAATAAATGAAAATAATAGTGGTTTTGAAATAATTTTCAGCTAGCTTTTTGAATTTAGGAAATAGCAAATAAGCATCAAATTTAAGTTTCATAAGAAGCAACCAAATATACATAGTAAAATGATCAACCAAGGTTATATATATCGAAAATAAGACGAATTTAAAATTTATATTAAGTGGGGATAAACTAATATAAGTAATATTAATATAAAAACTTATATAATATAAATTAATTCAAATGCATAAAAAATTATATAATAATTATAATAATTTTTTATGAATTTTATAACGCAAAAATAAACTCTTCGAACATTATCTTTCTCATTAGGATAATAGTCTAAATATTTTTTTTTTATAACTTTGAATCCAAAAGGCAATTATCTAAATGGAATTCAATACAAACTTTTTTTATAAAATATGTATGCCACTGATATTGGTTTTTGAAGAATTCTTTCAAAATTAGCTTCCTTAAGATGTAACTACACAACTAATTAAATTAGACAGTTTATTTTTTTTATAACTTTCAAGAAATAAAAAGATATATTAAAATATAATTATGCAAACAAAACCAATAAGCATATTTTATTACATATGTTTTAAATTTTAATTAAATAAAATAATTTTATATATGAAAAACAACTTCATAAAAATTAAATTACTTTATTGATCAACTTCAAAAAATTATGATATTATTTAATCTTAATCCACATTTAATATAAATATAAATAAAATATAAATTATACCCTAAATCAAATTATTTTATCAACATGAAAAATTTTAAATTGTAAATAAATATTTTATCACATTAACAAATAATACAAAAAATACAAAAAAGTACTTACTTGAATATAGTCAGGAAAAAAATGGTTCACTCCTTAATTTGTTTTTTTGTTTTTTTAGTTTTCCTTTGTCATGTTGTTTTCTAGTTAACTTTGACTGTTTTTTAAATGGAATGATGGTCCTTGAAAAACAATTATTCATAAAAGTTTATTTTATTTATGTTTATAAATGAGCTTATTTTTGTAAAATAATTTATTTTTATTGCAATTATATTTTCATTCTTTCTAATATTTATAAAGATGTCATATATATTTTATTTCTTTTCTTTTTCAGGATAAACTATAAAAGAATTAAAATTTTCTAACGAATTTTAAACAAAATCTTAGGGATCTCAGTGTCTTAGTGGATCTACAGTGGGGGAAGCAACTGCCCCCACTGTAGATCTGCTTCCCCCACTGTAGATCCGTTCCTGTTAGAAAACCATCACCTGATCAAGTAACTCTGGCAGGTCCCCAAGATCAACAGTGACCGAAAGATCCAAAGGTTTATTCCTAGTTAAATTAAGTTGAACTAGAAAAAGGCAGCTTGTGAATTTTATTGCAGCAATCACAAGAATTACACAAGCTATAATTTGAAACAGAAGAATAACAAGGTAAGGCAAAATGCTGAATTAAAAAATTTCAACGCTTGACAAGATGGATGGCCAAGCCTCTGATGCCATTTTGAAGAACTGGTTTTGGTTCCAACAAGTGCTAAAGCTGGTGGTTTGAGAAGTGGTTCAGTTGCTTGTAGCTCATAAATTCCATCTTTATTCAGACCGTGGGTAAGTGGCTTTTTCGTTTGCAAATTGAAAATATGGAAAAAAAAAAAAAGATGGAAATAAACAGAAATAAGATTTTTATAGACTTTAGGAACACAAAGAATATCGTTTAATGTTGGCGATATTGGTCTTTCATTTGTATCAAATGATATTCTAAGGAGTATTTTTAAGTCCAGTGGGCAAACTGGTTTTGTCTCTTATTAGATATTATCAAACGGATGGTCAAAAATATTTTTAATTTTTGGATTGATTTAACATGTATAATGTTATGTCAGTTCAATTATGTTACTATCATATCTTACAGACAGCTCATTTTTCACCCATAGATAGAGTCATCAGAAACTATATATTCATTCTAACTTTCTCGTTTATTTTTCTATTTTCCTATTTTCCCTTATTTTCGACATCTTCTAGCTAACTTTGACTTAAGCGGTAGAGTGCAAATATAAAAAATACTTAATGTTTTTATTTTTAACTACTCTTTTGTTTTCTTGTGAATTTAGGATCTTGACCCTCAACTCGAAGCTCAACACCAACAGATATAAAAAGATATTTTATTGCTCGTTCCATTTCAGTTTGTATAATACCTTTGAGGTAATAATAAATGGGTTGGATCATAGATCTTATTTTGAATTATTCAGCTTGACCCACAATTTAAAAAAAAAAATATATTTTTTTTGTTTAAGATAAACATTATCAATCCTTTAATTTTCCGTAAACCAAATTAAAATCACAGGCAACAACTAGATTCTTATACACCAAACAACTAAAAC